CCTGGCTGCCCCCCGGGCAGGCTGAGGGTCCCGGGGAGGGGCGGCTGGTGCAGGCCCCATGGCCGGGTCCCTGTAGGAGCGGCTGCCCTTGGACCAGCTCTGGGGCTGTTCTTGGGCTGCTGGTGTGGCCAAGCAGAGGAGTTCTCTGTGGGAACTGGGCTTCTGCCTAGGATTAAATAAATGGAAGGAGAGTAAGGGGCTGAGCTGCTCTCCTCTCCTTGCAGGTCGCCCAGGGTGGCCGGTAGGGCATAAAGGTGTGGGGGGATGGTGACAGGGAAGGAAAAATTAAACCCTGGCTCATGTCTGGGAACCTGAAGCTTAAGAGACTTCCCAGCGCCGTGGTACTGTGCTTAGAATTGGGGCAAAATGAAAGCAAACAAACTGATGTTGTCTTGTAATCCTTTTTTACATGTATTTCAGTGGAGGCCCTTACACCTTTATCTGTTCAATAGAAATTTTGTGATTTCTTGTTTTACGAGAGAGCAAGAATGTTTTGAGTGTAAGTAGTTCATCTGCTGGTGATGGTTTTAGATCTTCACTGTCATGGTGGTTCATCTAATTGAAAATACGAGGCAGCATCTAATAATATTTAGCAAGTTCTCTGGAAGATCTGATTCTGCCTGGTTCTACAACCCTGATTGTTGAAGCAGGGTGAGTTGTGCGGTGCACTTTAACATGTCAGGGCTCTGAGGGGGCTGTGCTGCCTCTGCCTTTTACTGAGTTTCACTGGGAAAACCTGTTCTGCACTTCCTCCCCAACCCCAGATGGAAGACACAGTTTGGAGACAAGAGCTTCTTATGGTGTGTGGAGTATTGAGTGTATGGGGTGTCTGGGTCATCTTTGCCACCCTCTGTTTACCTTCTCCCCTCACTTATTTTAGAGGAGAAAGTAAACCATCACTATAGTGTTAAAATCTCTTGCCAGAAATTACACTGCTGGTCCTGACCTTCTTACAACACTTCTTTATTTATTCCCGTGTGACTATTTCTAGGTGTCTTTGACACGCTGTTTTTCATGCTACTGAAAGCACTTTGTCCAGCTAAAATGCAGTTTGTCTCCTCCTGAAATGAGATTTATATGGCACAACTTTATTTGTGCTTGCCCACAGCCTATTTAAAGATGAGTGTTTCCTTTTGCTGCAGAATTTGGGGTGTTTGCATATACTTACCATTCAGACTGGAAAAAGTTTTTCATTGCTTTCCGAATAACTAATTCCTTTGGTAATTTTGCCTCCAAATAACATTCTAGGAGCTCAGTCAGATACTCAGGGTGTGCTGTTAAAACTCAGTTTCCCACCAGTGCAGGAGTGGAGATGTTTACCAAACAATAACCTTTGGTATATATTGCAGAGTTAATACTTGGCAGTATGGAAACTGTTAGATCATCCTGGATTAAAGAATACTTGGATCATTTAGACAGAAATTATGTTGGAATTCCCCTGGTGAAGGTAGAGATGGTGGAGCTGGACAATGGCTGTTCTGGGAGCTGAAAACATTCTCAGTGATAACCTTGCTTCCTCTGCTCCCTGTGCTGTTGTTCAGGACCTAATGAGCCTTAATTTCTGTAGCATAAAAGCCCTGTGGGAAAACGTTGCAGCTAATTCCATGGCTTTATCAGTAAGTCCTGAATGGCTCTTACAAAAGCAAGAATAATCTGTTCCTTAAATTTGAACACTAAAGCTTAACTTTTCTCAAATATAACTTCCCCTTGAAATGCTAAATGATGCCTTAGATGCCAAGGTACTTGGGGGGTGACAGGAAGCTTTTAATCCAGAGGTGAACTAGTGCAGTGGAGGTGAAGGGGCTTGTCCTACTGCTCCCAAGGCTGTGCTCCCCTTTTCTCTCACACTAGGATGTTTCTGTCACTGGACTGGACAGCTGAACTGACAGGTGGGGAAAAAAAATTATTATATTTTCTGTTGGTTCAGTTATCTGATTGTTTAGGTCAAGTGAGGGCCAGTGCTGGTGATGGGATCACTTGTGATGAGAACTCCTTGTTCATTTAGTTTGACCATAGCTTGGGTTTGTGGCCTGCAGGTACACAGGCTGGCTGGGGAACAGCTGGGGAGCTGTTCTCTCTGCACTGCTGGCAGTTCCCAAGGGCTGCAGTGGAGGAGGCATCTATTTGGTGGAGGGTGGTCCTCTCAGTTTTGGACAAAGCAACTTACTGGGGAGGGTGGGAAAAGCTGATAAGAGTTCTTAAATTCCAGGTGATATCCAGTGTGAAGCAACTGGGATGTTGGCTCAGAATGATGCTCAACTCCAAGCTCTATGGGTTGGATTGGTTTTAAGTCCTATAACACCAGCTTAGTGTTATTAATTAAATAATTTACATACTAAGAAGATAAGGCCTTTTAAAGTTATTCCTGTTAAAATATTATGTGCTGAACCCTTCATGGCAGTTACAATGTACTGCTAAAATTATCATACTGAAAATAGGCGTATCTGGGGCCTGTACTGGTTGTCTGGGGCTCTAGAACTGGTTGCCTCTCTTCAGTAGTTCACATAAGAGGGAGCAGGTCTCAAGCAACTTTTCTGGTGTCTAATAATCTTTAGAAACATGGGTGCCTGGTGTTTCTGACATTCTGAAAGAATAAATATGGACAAAAATGCAAGGAGACTATTGAGTCATTGTGCTGCAGTGAAAGGACTCTTAAGGGAGACCCAGGCTCTGGGGTTTTTATTTAATTTCCAAACATAAATGCTGAGGCACATTGTTCAACTAATTCTAACATCTCTGTATCCTATTTTGCAGAAAACAGAAAGAAGGAGAAAACATTTCATTGTTAGTCTGAACTTTTTTTGAGTTTTATATTAAAAAACTGAATTTGGGAGCTCTCTCAGTAATGTGTCAGGGCACTCAGCCTTTACCATAATAAACCAACTTTTTTACCCTGGTTAGGCTGGGAAAGAACCTTGCCATGAAGAGAGATGGCAAAATGCAATACATGACAATAATAAAGTCTTTAAAATGGGATTTAATAAACAGCCTTTTGGAAAAGGGAAGTGGTATAAACCACACTTCAGGTGTGAAAAGTATTGTCATGAGAAGTTTTCCTGAAATTAAAAACCTGATTGAGACCACTGGAAATGTTCTAGTGGGTCAGAGCTCCCTTCTTGCCTCTTGAAATAAGCAGGAAAACCTCTGTTCCTGGTTTTCACAAGTAACCTGTATGGATCAGCCCAATGTTGTGGGTGTTAGTGTCCTTGTCATTATGAAGTGGAACAAAAGGATATGTAGAGGTTGGTGACAGGAGTGATTTTTCTCTCTCCAGAGGACTGAGCATCCTGTTGAGGAAAAGACCACTGGTGTCCCTGACTGCTTGAGGTCTGTCCTCTCAGAGCAAAGCAATCTCTTAAATAAATACAGACTAGATACTTGGAATATGCCTTTATCAGAAGCTGCAGGCTAATAATGCTGTGCACCCCACAGAGGCTTCTGCAGAGATTAGCAGGCTGCTGTTCACCATCATCAGAACTTCCCTGATCCATGATGTATTTATACTTGTAGCAAAAAGGTCTGAATTTTTTATCAAATTTGAAACTGTTGGAGGTGGGATATACTTTAGAAAGCATGATCAGAGTCAAAACAGAATTACTTTATTGCTTTTTTGGATTGGTCTCTTTGTGGGCCTGAGTATTTCAAGCCTCCTTTTGAAAAATAGGTTTTGAGCAGAGATTTGATTTAGGAATCTCTGGGTCCTCTTGTGCATCTTTGCTTGCTAAAATTAGAGGAGCATTTCCATCTATCTTTGCCTTTCAAATCCTGTTAGAGGGGGAAGTAGCAACACAACCCGCCCCTAATGTATACTAGTGACTTGGCTGCCAACACAGAACCAGCTGTTCTTTATAATAGTTTTACTTTAGCATTTTGTTACCTTTTCTCAAGATGTTTTGCCTCTTCCAAGGAGACACCATGTGCTAAGAGCAGGTGATGAAAAGCCCAGAGCAAGATAAGACATCCGGTGACTTAATGTCATGAGTTTAACACTGACATCTCCATCAGTCTCAACAGTTTTGTTTTGGGTTACATATTCTGTGCTCAGTGAAGTGTGTTCCAAGTCCCAGGTCTTAGCTGGATGGGTTAACTTCAGCTACCAAGTGTCCCACATGTGCAGCTTTTATCTGTGTGAACCACAGAGGAAGCAGGAAGTGGTCTCAGGATGCAGCGATTGAGCCATATGCTGCTAGTGATGTGTGGGGACAAAACCAGGGTGTCTGGTGCTAGTAGTTCAGTCCTACTTCTACAGATCTCCGGTTTCTTATAAATTACCCTGTCCTTAGTTAAATTACTTAGGTGATTTATACCCAAAATCTCTAATTGTATAACCACTTGATGTCTGTTATGTCTTCTTGTTGTAGGTACCATGTAGTTGTACTCTTCCTTTCTCTGATTTCCATGGCTAGTTTTCTTAGCTTGGATTTTTGTTCTCACAAGCTGTTTCTGAAGCTTATTTACTTGAATCTTGCTGTGTCCAGGGTTTCAACTTGTGTGGAGCTCAGGAAATGCATCTACATGAGTTATGGATGTCCAGAGGTGATGTGTGTCATGATAAGGTTGCTTAGTGCTACAGCTGCCTCAGGCTTCCGTCTGACTTGTCTCAAGCTCATTGGATATACACACTCATGTTTAATTGATAGGGTTAAATTCCCTCTTTATGCCACAAGAACAAGTAAATGTTAAATGCCTTCTTGGCTCCTTCACTTGGGCTGTTGGCAGTTGCTTGGTTTCAGGGAAGGGGAAGATTAGAGCAGCTCAGGTGACTCTGCAAAATGCCAGAGATGAGGCCTGAAGGCAGAGACCCTCTCTGATGTTTTCTTCACATTTCAGCCTTTCCACAGCAGTGTCTTTTTCCTTTTCCTACAGATTCCCAGCACTTTCATTTCCTTCTAGAAAAAAGTTGCCTGTTCTGTGTCTTAACAAGGCAGACTTCCTTCACAAACCACTTTTGGTTTTTGTATGATTTCTAAAATAACTTTATCCTTGGTGTTCCTCAGCAAGCTTGCCTAAATCTACAGTGAAATCTGGGAGAGAAGAAAAGCTGTAAACCAAGAAGTGTACCTCATTCAGTGACAAAGATTACAGAATTTCTTCTGACTCATTCATCCAACTCTTGATATGGCTTAAAAAGGCCTGAAGTGGCAGCCCCGTGTCAGAGTACATCTGCACTTAAAATGCACTTGATTAATTGAGTCTTGACCCTTAGACTCTAGATGCATGTAGTGCAACCAGTGCCAATTTGTTCCACTATTAACTTTAATTAACAACGAAACATGTTTGCTGGGGTTTTTTTCTTGTTATAATCTTCAGTTACAGAGTAAGTAAGGCTTGTCATTTGCATAGGATTTGAAACAGCCTTTAGTATTTAGTAATTACTGTGGCAAGAATAAACTTAGGAATGGCTTTAGTCTGCTTTCACTGCCTGCATATACTGAAAGTATGTAATGCTGCCAGAACTTAAATGTGTATATATATATATGTATGTATGTATTTATGTTCTGCCTCAAAAGAAACCAGGCAGCTGTATTGTTTCACCTGAAGTAAATGTAAATACTGAATTATGAAAGAAAAGTTTTGTATGCCTTTTCTGTCCATTTTTTATAACATAGTTCAATACTGTCTGGAAGACACCTGTACACACATGGGTTCCCCCAGCCCTCTCACGCAGTGTTGTAACGTGGCATGAACCACAGGGATCAATGTGCCTTTCAGCACCTTGAACTTTGTGTGGGATAATGGGGTTTTGTTAAGTGGCTCCTCCTCCCAGTTGAAACAGGGATCTGTTAAGTGGCTCCTCCTCCCAGTTGTAACAGGGATCTCTGGAGTCTGGCAGTTGCGCAGGGAGGCTTGTGGCTCCAGCGTTTGCTTTCCAAAGTCTCAGCCTCCCCAGGCTGCTCCTGTCACCTGGAGGTAGAAACCTGCTCGATCATCTTATAGGTTAGCTTGTTACGTTTGTTTCTTACTAGATTGCACTTACTCTGACAGTGGCATAGACTGGCTCCACCCTGGTAGTCTCAACCCTCTTTGGCAATTCTGTATCTGTTCCCTTATAATTAGGGTAATTGCAGTGCAAGCCAACCAGGGAGCTTGCAGGACAGAGGGGTAGCAGGGACCCAGATACGTTTTGTGTTCCCACGAGCTCAGCATCTGTTGCATGGTGATAGTTCCTTTCAGTTGCTACACTAAATTGTGTATATAAATGCTTGTTTTCTTTCAGCAGAGGATGATCTTTTTAACGGAGGTAGGAACTGTGTACGCTGACAGAGAGGACAGAGGGGGCAGTTTCATGCAACTGCTGTGCCGATTTAATAGCTGCTGCTGCTACACAAGTACATGTGCTGTGCACTGTTGATTTTCTGAACTGTTAGAGGAAACTAGCTTGGCAGAAAGCTTATTAATGTTCTTAAGTTGTACAGAATTAGTTTTCTGTCTGTCTGAATCAATTTGTTGCAGGGTGTTGAGTGCCTGAGCATGTGGGTGGGAGTAGAATTGCCCTTTCAGCTCCTGGCTGTCTGATAGGTGAGCTGTAACCTGAAACCCTGAGATAGACAAACTCAAACCAAGGTCAGCCTTCACCTAGGAAGAGCTCCATCAAAATACAGTTCTTCTTACACAGAAGGGTGCTGCTGGATTCTGCCTTTCTCCAAGTCCTTATCCAAAATGCTCCTTGGGTGGAGCATGACAACATCTCTTTACCCCCACTGCTCCCAAGTGTTCCCAAACTGTGGTGGAAAAGAATTTAATAAAATCCAAGTCCCAAGGATGTGTTTCTCTCCGGATGTTGATGACCCTGTGTGCATGAGGAGTGCTGTCTGCATGGATCTGTGGTACTGTGAGTGTCCCTTTGCCTGCCCCTGCTAACCCAGCTGTCTGCCCACAGTTCCTGCGGGTGACCAAGCAGTACCTCCCTCACGTGGCCCGCCTGTGCCTCATCAGCACCTTCCTGGAGGATGGCATCCGCATGTGGTTCCAGTGGAGTGAGCAGAGGGATTACATTGATGGCACGTGGAACTGTGGCTATTTCCTGGCCTCCATCTTTGTGTTCATAAATCTCCTCGGACAGCTGAGTAAGTGGCTCTAAGGCTGTTAAGGTGGGTGCCAGAGCACTCCAGAGTGTCTGTCACCCTGGCTCATGGAAGCAGGGGATGCCTCACTGGTTTCTTAATAGCCATTTACAGCTTACAACTGATAGTACTGTGTGGGCTGAATGAAAGGAACTTGTGGTTAACCTGCTCCAGCCTTTCCTGGAAGTAGTCTTAGAGAATTTTTTATGACACACGACCTCTTGAGTCAGAGATTCCAAGAATCAGTTAGGACAGTCTGGTTTCTCTTCTCTACATGCATCTATGAACACATACCACACCCCCTGAATTCTTTAAATGAAATACTCATATTTTCTTAAGCAGGACAGTGTTAAGACTTCCTCAGCCTTCTGGTTTTATGGGTATTAATCTCAATGGCAAAGTCTTATCCTGCAGTTGAGAAACTTAAGCCTGAGAGAGGTGCTTATGTCAGGCTTTCAAAGCCCAGGAATCAAAATAATCCCAGAAGCAGAGTTTCTCCGTGTCTGCTTGGTGGACTTAGAGTGTCAGAAACTGAGAGAGAGGAATAAAATTCTCTTCCGTTAATATTATGCCCATGGTGTGCTGTTCTTGACTACCTTGCCAGATTTTTGTCCTGGGTCTGGGTGTTTGGGTTTTTTTTAACCCTCATTTTTCTGTAGAGTCAGCTTAATTTAATGTAGTTACTGGTCCTCATGTCAACATGGCAAAGGCTGTCGGTGCTTTGGTACAGAAGATTTGAGGAGGGATATAAGCCAACAGCTTTCAAGGAAAAGGAGTGCAGCATGTTTGCCCTAACAGTTATCTCATTAAAAAAAAGAACAAAATCCATGATGAGTTGAGTTTCTTTTTAACAACTTCTAGTGCTTTAACACTTGACAGCTGCTGTGCTGTGTGTTGGGGCTGCAACTCGTGTGTGCTCACCCTGTGTCAGATAACAGATACTTCTGCAATTATAACACATTTTAAAATGCACTAAAACTTACTGGTTCTTAAACCAATTTGGCCAATGTGCCATTAGAATTTCCTGCCTGATGTCCTTCATGGCACAGTTGAAGGACACAGGAGCCTGCCCAGTTCAAAAGGAGTTGGCATTCCTGCAGCATCTTTTCCTGTGCAAGGCAGAAGTGTAACTGTCTTCAATTTCCCCAACTCAGGCGGCTGTATCCTGGTGCTGAGTAGGAACTTTGTGCAATATGCCTGCTTTGGACTGTTTGGAATTATAGCATTACAGGTAGGAGGCTTAAGTCTTCAGCCCTTCTAAACAGTGTCTTTCAAATCTTCTCTCTTAGCCCCAGTACTCCCAACATATTTAAATACAACTCCTAACCCTGGAATTTTTCTCCACCCTGGTCTAGTACCAGTCCCCAGTGGCACTGACCTGTTTTGCTGCTGCTGTTCTTCTCATGTGCCCAATAGATCCTTGACTGTAATTGCAATTAGTCAGCTGGAAATGTTGATTCAATACTTGACCTTGACCAATTTAGCAGAAGTAACTTGGAATTTACCTGTCTGTCAGTCATGTGCCAAATGTGAAATTGCAGTTGCTTTGGCCTTTAGCACACAGCTTTTATAAAGAACTGTTCCCATCACAAAGAATCCTCACTAGTAGCATCCTTCATCTTCAAAACTGATGGATTTTTGTGGGGGCTGAAGCACAAGTCAAATTTTGGCTTCTGTTCCCTGTTTTACACTGACTCATTGAGCTATCTTGATGTAACCTACCTTGTTTCCTTCACTATAACATACTTGCAATTGACTTCTTCTGTGAATAACACAGACTTGAGAGAAACTCAGAACTTCCATATAATTTAGATGGTGTTTTAACCTATTTTCTTCTTGCCTAGACTATTGCATACAGCATTCTATGGGACCTGAAGTTCTTAATGAGGTATGTCTGTTTGAAGTTTTGATCAAAACAGAAAGAAAACTGTTGTCTGTCACTGCCCCTCTCTGACAGAGGAGATGATCTTTGTACATTGTATTTACTAGGAAGATTTTACAGATGATACAGTTATATTAAAAAAGAAATGGCATCACTTAAAAATTAAAAGTCCATACAGTCTGTGTTGAATTGTAGATGGCAGGCTCAGTGCTGTAGAAAAGAAAGACTGATCCTAACCCTCTGGGATCCAAGTGTTTCTGCTACTGACCTCCTTGCTGAGAGATCACAAACTGCCTGGAGAGGATCAATGAGCTGCTGTTATTTCCTAAGTGTCTAAAATAGCAACTGTGCTTGTGCCTGACTGAGGCCATTCTTTGAGGAAACTAAAGCATTAGATATCAGAGTGCTTTCTGGGATTTTAAATCCCAAACACCTCCTCTAAGTAGAGGACAGGGTTCTTAGATGTGAGCTTTCTTGTCAAGTCATGAGTGATGTCTGGCTGTTACCTTTTCACTCCTCTGCTCTGAGGGGGGAGCAGGGGGCAGCTCAGGAGCCACACTCTGGGCTTTTACTGCAGCCCTGTAAATGTGTAACTTCTCGTGGCAGGGCTGCTGTGCTGTTTCCTCAGAGCAACCTCTGAACTACTTTGGCATCTGTGGCTAACCCTGAGGTACAGAATAACTTCAACACAACAAAATCCATGCTGTGAGAGATGCCAAGCAGCTGTGCCTGAGCTATGGGTGCTGGACTTCTCTGGCAGGCTGTACCTGCCTACACAAGCTTGTGTGAATCACTGCTGTGTCCAGTGCTGCTGTTCCAGCTGTGAAGTCCAACACAGAGACACATTCTGAGGTCACTCCTCACTAGCAGGCAGGTTCTTACTGAGCTGAAATTGTCGGATAAGACTTTACATGTCCAGATCAGTGCAAACTGCAATCAACTGCTATTTATTCATCTCTGTCTCTCTGCAGGAACCTTGCCCTGGGGGGAGGTTTGCTGTTGCTCTTGGCTGAGTCACGCTCCGAGGGGAAGAGCATGTTTGCTGGTGTCCCCACCATGCGGGAGAGCTCCCCCAAGCAGTACATGCAGCTGGGGGGCCGTGTGCTGCTGGTCCTCATGTTCATGACGCTGCTACATTTTGACATGAACTTCTTTTCTGTAAGTATCTAAGTGTAAAAGCATGAATTAAGGAACTAGAATATAGAACCAAATCCTAGAGGGGCTGCAGGACCTACTGAATGTTTATTATAGGATCACAGAATGGTTTTGAGTTGGAAGGGACCTTCAAGATCATTGAGCTCCAACCCCCCTACGTGGGCAAGGACACCTCCCACCAGACCAGGTTGCTCCAAGCCCCATCCAGCCTGGTCCTGAACACTTCCAGGGATGGGGCAGCCACAGCTTCCCGAGGCAACCTGCTCCAGTGTCTCACCACCCTCATACTAAAGTTTTTCCTCATGTCTCACCTAAATCTCCCCTCCTCTGTTTTTAATTCATTCTCCCTTGTCTTCTCACTACAAGTCCCTGTAAAAAGCCCCTCCCCAGCTTTCCTGTAGCCACTTCAGGTACTTTAAGGTGCTCTAAGGTCTCTCCAGAGCCTTCTCTTCTCCAGGCTGAACAGCCCCAACTCAACCTGTCGTTTAAGTTTGGGTTTTGGTATAATTAATATTTAGAAAAGCTATTAAATCATCTACTCTGTGACAACCTGTTCTGCTGAATGTATCCATGCCCTCTTGTGATATTTGTGTATGTTTGTTGTTTTTTTTCGCTTGCAGATTCTGCAGAACATTGTGGGCACAGCCCTGATAATCCTAGTGGCAATTGGCTTCAAGACTAAGCTGGCTGCCTTGACTCTAGTCATCTGGCTGTTTGGCATCAACATCTACTTCAATGCCTTCTGGACCGTCCCAGCCTACAAGCCCATGCATGACTTCCTCAAATACGACTTCTTCCAGACCATGTCTGTCATTGGGGGGCTGCTCCTCGTGGTTGCACTGGGCCCTGGTGGAGTCTCCATGGATGAGAAGAAAAAAGAGTGGTAACAGGAATAGCAACACTTCTTGGGACATAACATATTAAGTCCAGAACTGATTCTCTATGGATTCAACAAAAAACTGCCAGCATTTTACACGTACATGCCCCCTTCCTCTTAAAGGCACAGATGTTTTGAATTTGATTTACAGTGGCAACAGTAATGTAATAGATAAACCCCTGTTTCTTCAAGGAATGTTGCCTAGGCTTAATCTAACTTCCTAGATTTGGAACTAACCCAAGGAGCCTGCATTTTGCTGATGCTTCAGTGAGTTGCAGTAGGAGAGTTGCTGTCTTTCATGGCAGCAATGTTTTAAAATTTGAAGTACTGTGAGCAGATAGAGCTGAATCATGGAGTGGGCTGTTGGGTTCCAGCTATAACTAAAAAAGTGGATCCCCTTTCTCACCCTCATCAAAGCTGTCTTGTGCATAAGGAGTTCCACTGCTGGTTATAGCATTTCTTATCAAGGTGGAAAGCAGCAGCAGCAGCAAAAGAAAAATCATGTTCTTTTGCTGCTTAAAAGGCCTGTAATTCCATTTTGTTTAATAAGAGGGGAGGTCTTTCCTGCCCCCCCAAAAAAGGCAAAAGAAAACCTGACAGTAGTTTTACCTGCATCTAGCTAAGAAAAGGGAGAGGGTTTTCTAACATGTTCCAGTTCTGCTTTTGAGGAGAACAAGGGAGAATCCTGTCGTGCTAATCAGGCATCCTGTATGGCTAATCAGGTTTCAAGCAGAGGAGGTTCTCCTGAAGAGATCATGTCAGATTCTGTTAAAAGTCTGTGCCAAAAGAACTCCTTATTCAGCATTCTTTCCCCAAAGTCACCCCTCCTGAATTCCCAAGAAGGGAGCCAAATTGTGCTGCAGGTTCCACAATAAAAGCTCCTTTCTGCTATTAACCAGCTTCCATTCATTTATGCCCCAAATTCATATCTGAATTGCAGGTTATTGGTGAAAGTGTCTTGAGAATTGCAGAAACTCCCCTTTTTCTCTGCACCCAGCACATGCAGGATGAGAACAGTCTGTCTCCTAAGCTGTAGCCTTTGCTTTTAGATTCACTCTGGCAGTCTCTCAGCTGTGCAAGTCCCAGCTGACTGAAGAGTGGAGGAGGTGGGGTGTTGTCCTCCTGCTGCAGCCCCTTCCCTCTGCCATCTCACACCACTCCTGAGGTGTGTGGGGAGGGAACAAGCCAGCTGTGTGCTGCCAGAGCCCCAGCTCTGCATCCTCACACTTCTGCCAGTGGAGAAGCACCAGGGATGTAACTTGTGTGCTCAGAGATAGGAACTCCTTAGCACTGTGGTGAGGAGAGGAAGGCCCTGTTTTCACCTCTCAGTTGCCACAACCTGTGCCATGAACATGCTTACTGCTGCTCAGAGGAGGCATTTTGTCCTCTGCTAGTCAACTAGGTGAACCTGTTTCACTAGATGATACCAAAATTCTAGAAAGCATGAGCCCAACCAACTTGATAACATTATATTGATTCCTTGCACTGTTGTCTCCCTTGAGAAAGCTGCTCAACTGTTTGTTCAAGCAGTGATTAACCCAGCTGAAGGCCTCTCCAGCAGGAGCTGCTCACCAGGGTAAGGACAAACGGTTGCATTTTAGGAGAGAAAACCAGGCTGAAAGACCCAATGACAGGCAGAAGAGCACTGCTGAATGTTAAACCAGTGATTTCATCATTTAAGGGGAAAATAGCCTGTGTAACAGCCAGTGTGTTGCTGCTGAAGGAAACTTAATTGGTGTGTGGGGGTAGAGGGGAGGGGAAGCCAGCATGCAAGGTCAGGCCTTGTAGAAAGCTTTGGATTAGTTTGGCGAGAGTTCTCACCTGAGGTGTTCCCTGTGCTTGTCCCTTTGTAGCAGAACAAACTGGTGATGGATACACAGAACAGGAGGCTTTTCCTCTCTCACTGCAGGTCCTGTGATAGCTTTAGACTACATCAAGGCAGCCATCCTCAGAGATCCTAACTGCTGTTGATGTTCATAGTATTTATAAATGGAATGATAGAAAAATCCTGTAAGTAGCCCTTTCTAAACTTTGTGTCCTGTCTAAGTAAGGAGCTGGATAATGGACTAGTCTGAAATACTGACCAGATTCAAGTCCCTTTCCAGCAAGACACCCCAGAAAAGGAACTGATACTGTCCCTTGCAGCAGAAATATGTTGGTGCTAAAGGGGCACAGTTAGGGTGGGAGGGCATTAAAAGATACTTCTAGGCAGCATAATGTGCAGACTTAGTAACTGTGAGTCCTGAAGATTTTGGTTTTCTACATACACTGCTGTATCCATGCATCTCCCAAAAACACAGTGACCTCTCTCTGTGGCCAAGAAGCTCTCACAAGCAGGATGTCAGCTCTTGATTGGCTCTGCAAAGTGTTCTGGAATTCATTCTGAATATATTTTTGCTTTCTATGTGGGAAAAAAAAAAAAGAACTAAGTATAAATTCTCATTTTACGCTGTATTTTGTACCTTAGTTGTGTTTGAAAATGTTTTGATTTTTGGAAACAATCAAAATAAAACAATGGCATCTTTGTATCCACTTGGCGTGTGTGGCTGGTGCCACCCCACAGCTGGGCTACCTGGAGATGCTGGTTGGTGGTCTCCTGTGCTTTCCATCCCACCTCTCCAGGAAGAGATCCAAGCACTGGGCTGCCTGTGCTTGACTGCAGTTGTCACTCTTCCCTGGGTGGGGTGACATGAGGATGCTGGAATACAACTGAATTCCACCCCACTCATCCCCTGCCCAGCTGTCACAGTCAACTGGAGCAGGCAGACATTCAGCCAGCCTTGTGCACCCTCTGGAATTCTTGTACAATAGGCGTCAGGACTTGTATTTATCACAACATTTATTTGCCCTTGGTTGCTTTCTTGAAGTTCTTGGGCTTTCGATGATGACTCTTGAATTTCTTCTTTAAAGGACCTGACTGTTTCTGTAGAGGAAAAAAAGGGAATCAGCAGAATTCCAAACCCCAAATCCAGCCCTGCTGGAGGTAGCTTGAAGAGACAGGGAGTGTGGTCTCCTTTACCAAGAGACAAGCACAGCGCTGGTCAAAGCCAGCCAGGATCCCTGCCCTGTTCCCTGACTGCCATGTGGTTCCACTGGGCACAGTGACAGCCTGAGCTTCATCCAGCATCACTTCCCAGTTTGAAACAGCTACACAGGATCCAGCTGCCTTGGAGAGTTAAGTGTTTATGGATGTAACATCTGCCTGCTTCCCAAATGGAGAAGGATCAGGGTGTGTCCTGTAAGGCAGGACCTGGCCAGCTCCTCAAAAAGAGGCAGAAAAGGGTCTAGAAGGACCCTGTGACCTCAGAAAGGTTCAGTTAATGTCTGTGTGTGTGTGGAGGGTGATGGAACCCCAAGACAGCTGCAGTCTCCTTGTTAGGGAGCACACAGCAGGATCCCACCAAAGGAGCTACTTACACAGGTGGGATAAACACCTCTTGGCTGTCATTCACACCTCGGGCTGCCAGTGGGAGGGCAGCACAGGGGGAGGGCCTGTTGTGAACAGTTCCACCCCTCCAGGACAGGAGCAGATCCCCCCCCTGCAGCCCGGGATCCCGCCCCACGATCCTTGCTGCCGGACACACAGTCTGACTTTCCCACCTTCCCCCTCTTGCTGCCGGCAACTCCACTGACATCCCTTCTTCCACCAGCCTCTCCATTCCTGTCCCCGTTCTGCTTGACCTCCTCATCCTCACTGTTTGTTCCAAGGTCTTCGCTGCCCTTTGTGGCCTGTGGAGCTGGTGGGCTTTTCTCTGGGAAGAGTGCGGCTGAAACACAAGGATTGAAGCTCTGGGTCAGTTTGCTGTGCACACAGGCTCTGCCTCCCCCTGGCTCTGAGGGAACCTTCGAGGCCATTTCCCAGGCTGCTTCCAGACCCTGAGCACAGCTGTGCTCTGTGGCACATCACAGACGTGCCACTGAAACACTCGGGGCATTAACCACACGGGTGTTTCATTAGAAGGGAGTAAAAAGAAGCGAGGAGAAAACGAGCCAACAAACTCCCTTCAGGACACAGATGAGACCAACGTTCCTACTCACGGGGGTACAGGTCACTCATGCTGTCATCTGTCTCCTCTCCATCCTCATCGCTGGACCTTGGCTCCCAGAATTCCTCTTTCCCACAGGGCTCCCTGCTCCCGTTGAGCTGCGGGCCGGGGCGCGGCGCCCGCTGCCTGTGCCGCAGGCAGGCAGGGATGTACTGTGCTCCCTCCTTCTGGCACTGCTCATCTGAGGGGGAGGAGTTGGGCAGCACTCAGCAAGGACACCCAGTCCTCTCAGGCCTGCTCAGTTCCAGCTCTAGCTGGTACTAAATGCAACTCTGAAGTATGTCAACCTCCAACTGTAAAACATGCCTTCCATCTGCAGCCAAGCCCCATCCCTGGAGGTGTTGAAGGGCAGGTTGGATGGGGCTTGGAGCAGCCTGGGCTGGTGGGAGGTGTCCCTGCCCATGCAGGGGGTTGGAACTGGATGATCTTGAAGGTCCCTTCCAACCCAAACCATCCCATGATCCTATGATATGATTTTTCTGAAAGATGGGAAAGCTGTTAACATAGAGACTGCGCTGCTTGTGAGATCCACCCCTTCTGAGGAAGCTTGAGAGTTTCTCAAGTGAGGAGATTCCAGGGCATCCTGGAGACCCACTGCTCCCTACATCTGGGATCTTCCTCCCCAGCTGAGCAGCACACACAGCAACAGTATGCCACTGCCAGACTAAAAATAATGGATCCCCTTCCTTCACACAGAGCTACTGGACTCAACAGCTCAGAGGAAAGACAAGAGGTGCCTGGTTGCACCTTCAGAAAAGCCACTCACACGTTTCCAGGGCCTTCTGGTAGCGCCTCCCCCGGACATGCCTCAGGACGTGCTCTGGGTGCTTGTTGATGTGTCTGAGGGTGAGTTTGCAGAACAGCTGGTGTCTGAGAGACACAAAGAAACAGCCAGAGGCAGGGTTTAAGTATCTGCTACTTGATAACCTTTCACTTCGAAGCACCATGCTCGGTTGGTACCTACTTCAGACCTCCCCAGTCTCCCCAAGCCCGTGAACTCTCAAGAACTTTGCAAAGCTCAACCACTGAGATGTAACCAAGTGTGAAGCGTAACCCGCGGGAGGGAGGATACATACAGGTTCTTTGTGCTGGGCACTATGTGGGGCTCAAACTCGGCATAGTCGAACTCCCTGGCTGTCCTTGTCAGCCGCTGGTACCTCCTGCCGTCAGTGTAAGCCCGC